TTATAATAATTTCATACGAGAATTTTTTCAGGGAGTTTTTTTACCGTTTTAACGACTATTTTTATTTTTCAAAATAGTAAAACAATTTTGTATAATATTATGAAGGTGTGTATGTATGTATTTTTCTCTTCAAAATTTGTTAACATTCACTGTTTCAAAAGTGAAGATCTCGTTCACTTTTGTAAATACTTAAATTTTAACGTCACTAATAACGTCAAAATATTGCAGTATTAGTTAGGCATGATATTGAATTTTGGATGAGAAAATAAAATAAGAAAAATACGACGCATATAAATGCGTGGGACCAATGCACCTTTCGTTACTCAAACTGGCATGTATATGCAGACTCACTACCTGACAGAAATTCAATAATATCAAATTTTCAAATACCTGTCACAAAATTGTAGACTGCAATATCGCAATGATCAAAGTCTTAAAAATGATTTGCATTAAGCGTCCAAGTAGACAGAGTTGACAGCATCTTTTTAATTTGAGCGAAAGGAGGGATGTCAAAGGCGAATAACGATGATTGCACTGTTACGTGCAATATTTTGGATGACGAATAAAGGGTACACGTGTACGTGGATTTATATATACATATTTAATGGTCTATAAGAATCGCTGGAAACAATAACATTGAAACGCGATCGTGGGTTGTTTTATAACTTATGTAAAAAAGACATGTCCTTCTTAATCATTCAACAAGGACTTTAATACCTCATACTCACGATTTATCGAGTTTTCATTTTTTTCTGCATTTTCTTTGACAAAAGCATTCCACTGTGATTTTAATATTTTAAAGATAGTAAAAATGGTACAGTTAACAATTCGAGGAGTTAACCCACGAGTAATGCTTTTAGTAAAAAATGTCAGAATATGGCTTTTTCCACTGGACAAACTAGCTTCTTCGATACCTCTTGGAGTTAAAGCCTCCAAACTAATCTTAATTTCTTACTAGGAGTGATTGCTTGATCTTTTTCCTTAGTAACCTTTAAGATAAACCGTTTGAATCTTAATCACTTGATGTTAAAACTATTAAATTGTAGTTAGTGAGTAATCACATGTACTCCACTCAGCCAACAAGTGTTATTACCAGTAATGTTTTAGGGCTTTCCACACGGGCCACTCGCTTGTTTGATTCCTCCAAAATAATATCAATTTTTTAGTAGGAGTAGTTGCTTGATCTTTTTACTCATTTACCTGTACGATAAACCGTTTCAATCTCAATCAAGTAATGTAAGAACTTTTAAGTTGTGGTTAGTGGGCAATCACATAATTATACTCTAATACAATTTGATTTTAATAATGAATTTTATTTGCCTACACAGTAACAATATCAGTGGTTTGATAACATAAACACTATTTCAAGCTAGCTTTCGATGAACCATAGGTTATGAAAATACATTACTTGACAAACAGTGTGCAAAGATATACATTAAATACACACAAACAGTAAATTTTCTAGATCCATTTCATCCTTTGAACGGACATTAATTACTTCATAGAATATCCTTATCACTAATCGTACATGGTGCTCATAACAGTAATATATGATACGGTGGTTTTCAATATCTATAAATAAATTAAAATGCTATACAGATCATTTTATGTTTAAATATTTGTCCATACTTACCTTACCGAAATTCTCCAAGTTTAAATTTATCAATGGTCCAGCTGTTAACTGACGTGCAATTGAGCTGCGCATCATCATTAAATGTATTAAGTATCGTGTTTTGATGGGTAATTTATACCAACCGCAAAAGTAACTGAATTTTAGAATAATAAAATTAAGTTACAAAATCATTTATTATTTTTATGATAGTTTATAACTTACAGGGACATAAAAAACTCTACATTTTTATCAACCAATTTTTGCCCTGGCCAGCATGTATAGAACAGGTAAATAAAATGCCCCAACCACATCACGATATAGCGACTGTACACAAAAGTATTGAGTTTTCGTTTTGTTAACTGTAAGTTTAAATATTGCAATTTACTGCAGAAATCCATCCATGGGCTGAACAATACTTATAAAGTTTTAATACTTACCATTGCACTTCCTATACTCAACTCTATGACGACCAAAGTTATATTTAACAAGTTACTCACAGACCACGCGTGTCGAATAAGGTAAAAAAATCTGATAAATAAAAAAATACAGTTGAATTAATTCAAATAATTACTTTGATGATATTATAATGGTACGGAACTCAATTGTTTGGTTATGGAGTTTAATTGTTTGGATAATGTAGGCGTGGATTCGTTCTTCCTCAAATTTTGAATCACATTTAAATTTATCACGGGTCATTTCGAATGTTTGATCCATACGATATCTAAATTGCGTTAAATTTCACAGATGAAAACAGTGTGAATGTAATCATTAATTGCTTGATTATTTCATATCTTATGATATCAAAAGTATATTACTTAAGAACATCGTAGAGTCCAATACAGTGACAGACGCAGTTAGCATACATCGTATCTGCAGCAGCTATGATAAATGTTACGAGAATACTAACAATGAACGAGTGGGCATATATATACCAGTAGTATTCTTGTTCATCTACAAAATACTCCGTGTATATAATGAACAATTTGGGTCGTGATTCATTCGTGGAAATTATTGTGTCGAATATTTTCGGTCCCATTATAGGCATCGTCACAAAAATAATAAGGTTTTGGATAAGATACACTGCGTAGCATATTATAACTGTTGATTAAGATGCAACTTTACTCTTTTAAATTAAAAAAGTTTATTCACCTATAAAAATAAGCGTAAATGTATAACCAAGTTTCCAAGATTTTCTTAAAACTTCTTTTTCCCTTTTATTTTCCATTTGTTTCCAATCGTTGGTAAAACGCTTGTAAATGTGCCGTAACTGAAATATTATTTTGTAAATCAGTAAAAATTATGTAATTATTTTAAATATGCAGCATACCTTGTGTTCCATGCAAAGATTTTGAATGTATTTTATAGTTGTTCCCGTCATAAAAATAACACCAATGATACATTCGACAAGTATTTCAAGTTTTCCATCCACCAAGAAGAGTTCCTTAAAAGCTCGGAAAACCTAAAAAAAAAAAAAAAAAAAAAAAAAAAAAAAAAAAAAAAAAAAAAAAAAAAAAA